CAAAGGAAAAACCTCGACACTCAGGGGCTGTCACATTCTTTGTTATCAATTAGGGGAGAGGGAGGCAGGAGGGTGGGAGGGAAGGAGAGTGGAAGGAAGGAAGGAAGGAAGGATGTAGCGAGAAGGGGAGAGAGAGTGAGGAGAGGGAGAGAGAGAGAGAGAAGGAAGAGGAGCGAGGGAAATGGAAGGATAGAAAGGGAGAGGAAGGAGCGACTAAGGGGAAAAACCGGGATAGAGGAGGTGGGGGGAGGGAGGAATAAAGACACAGAGGGTGGAGGTGAAGTGCAGAGAGAGAGAGAAAAGGGGGAGGGAGAGAGAGAGAGAGAGAGAGAGAGAGAGAGAGAGAGAGAGAAGAGAGAGAAGAGAGAGAGAGAGAGAGAGAGAGAGAGAGAGAGAGAGAGGGAGGGAGAGAGGGAGAGAGGGAGAGAGAGAGAGAGAGAGAGAGAGAAGTGGGAGGGAGAGGGAGAGGTGGGAAGGAGAGGGAGAGGGAGAGGGAGAGGTGGGAAGGAGAGGGAGAGGTGGGAGGGAGGGAGAGTGGGGGAGTGAGAGAGAGGGGCCTGGCAAAGGAGAACGGGCGAGCGAGCGAGTGGGAAGGAGAGAGCGTAAGGGAGGGAGGGAGAGAGAGAGGAGAGAAAGAGAGAGAGGGAGGAGAGAGAGAGGGAAGAAGGAAGAAAAGAAGGGGAGAGGGAGAGCGAGAGTGTAAGAGCCAATGCACAAAGGTGAGAGCGATGGTTTTATAAGTCGACGAGTTAAGAAGCAAGGGATGGACTGCAAGAGTAAGGAAGCAAGGAGGATAGCCATGAGGGAAAGAGTAAGACTCGAGAATTAAAAATATGAAGCAAGAGGGGGGGGGAGCGTGTGTACCATCCTCGTGCTAGCTGTAAGACGTAAACAAACCTTGACCATCTCGCGTTGGTATGCAAGGGCGGCATGGCTTCGCCCCTCGTCCCCCCCCCCTTCCCCGTCTGCCCCCCCCCCCTCATCGGTGCTGTGTGCTTTCAGATAATGTTCATTTTCTCAACACTCCGCTTATGTCACAGACGTCAAGGAGAGTGATAAGCCCAAACGCCGCCCTGCATACGGATCAATACCCTCGCCTGCCAGGTTCTTCGGCCATGTTAGCATACTCCCGATCCCAAAAATGTGCGCCTCCACGTAATAGAAACTCTGCAGTTTGTATCAATAGCGAGCGGCGCACACGAAGCACCATGTGATATCTAGAGCTATATATAGATTCTAGTCCGGCTAGGTGTGGCCCCCTTCCCCCCCTACCCCCAGCGAGCACGTTGCGCCCAACCACTACGCAATTACCCTTCTACGTCACGAAAACACATGGTCGTAGCAAAAGGCAGCAACTTATATTTGCCATGCCTGCTCGCTGATGAAGTATGCATGGTCGTTGCCTTGAAGTGTAAATACTTAAAGAAAAATTCACGTTCTGTCGCAGCGGACGCAGAATCAATCACTTCTTAATCGTATTCAAAGCTCGTCAGATCTAAAAAAAAAAAAAAAAAAAAAAAAAAAAAAAAGCCAGTCACACTTGTTATATCAGTGCAATGATCTACGAATAAAACATCAAATGTGAAATGGCTCAAAATCCTGCACTCTTGAGGTCAACGAGGGAGGTCTTCATTTTATATGTATCGTTTAAATCACAAAAAAAACGACAACACAGTCAAAAGAAATGTGTGAAGAAATTATTATATTGTTTTCTTTTCGTTTTCACTTCATGTTAGCTATGGCAGGTTATGAGAGCCTCGATATCTCTGTGATTTTTATTGGGTAATAGTCTGACTTCACTGATGCTGTGAACGCTTCACTTCTACTTATCTGCCACATTATGCCTTTTCGGTTGCCCTGCTGCAAGCAGGCAATGTAATGCAGATTGCATTGCTGTATTTATTTCGCAGCATATTACAAACAACTCGTGAGCTTTAATTTTCCTTTGTATTTGTTTCATCATCTGAAAGAACAGGAGTGCCAAGATAAGATATCAGGGTAGTCACATCTGACGTCGGCCATGATGAGGGATTGAGAAAAAGGCTCGGTAAAGGGGTACGGCCTGCCTCTTGTTTGGGACAGGCGGATCCCCCACCAGAATGAGCAAACATCCAGTTGTTGTGACAGAGAACAAGGCCTATAATTGACAGAGAGTGCGTGCATCTTGGCTAGCTGTGGCAATGACCGTGATCTTCCAGAAGGTCGCTGCAAACCTGACGCCAAGGACAACCACCGCGGCATTACCCTGTCTTGCCTCTGGTCGACTTTGTCCTCTCTCTGCGCCCGAACGACCGGTTGGCAGTTCTGTTACGCGCTGCTTGTATCCAAACAACCGGGGGATGGCGGCCCAGTGCTTTGGCGGACGAGGAGGAGGCCACGTTAACGGGATTGGCCGTCGACCAAGAACGCGGCCTGTGTGTTCGGAGTTTATTTACCCTTTTCATTGTTCACCGATGATATTTACATTGGCAAATTTTGGGAACGCGCAGATCATTAATTG